AAAAAAAAAAATTAGACATCAACTTTCAAGAATTCCTTAGAGAGTGTGCTTTCAGCTGGCTGCCTGCTACCCCAAAGCTCTGAAAGAGTAAGGTTGAAGTGCTGGAACATGCTCAGATTGTTTTTTAGTTACTAAAAAGTCCCTTCTTGTTCTGAATATGAAAGCTCTTCCCATTCCTGCTTACTGCAGCCATTCTGTGTGTGTGGTTCAGACCCTGGCCTAGGGCTGGTGATGTGGATGAGTGAAGGGAGCCAGGTACATGGCAGTAGGGCAGAGGGGACTACAGGGAGCCCATGGCCCACCCGGTAAGGGCAGTAGCCCCCAGCTCTACTCCTGTTGCCATGTGGAAAAGTGGGCCTAGGATGGCCACAGCTTTGATTTTTCAAGAGACAAGAAACCTAGATTTTTTTTCGGTGCCATCTCTCCATTTATAAATGCTGGCAACCAATTTGAACATTTTCAGAGGCCATGTGCAGGTGAGCTGTGTCCTCTAGGCTGACAACTCACAGTCCCCACCCCAGGGCCCTGTAAGCTGTGCAGTGTGAAGGCCTGGCTTCCCCAGACACACCTGGAGCAGCCTCTGAGTCTTACCCATAATGGAGCCGGCCTACCCTGTGTGTTATGTTGCTGTCGCTCCTGTTTTTACCCATATGTTCTGTCCCATAGTGGTCATTCACACATGTGAAGAAGACACAAGAATCAAAGTACAAGTTGCCTCAATACATGCTAATAACTAAGCCTCTATTTTCACAGGACTGATTCACGCACACCTTTATAGCTTGACCGTATGCTGTCATGAAAGTAGCACCCCGACGGTGCTTGCTTTACTAAGTCACCGTGTGTGGATGCTTTTGTTGCGTTTTGCTACACTGTGAGTAGCATGGGAAAAGGGTCCACATCTCCAGAAGACTCTTCCACTTGTTTGTCCCACAGCCCTAAGTGCCACATTGCTGTTGGTTGCTCCTGGGATGCCTTCTAGAAGGGGGCCTCCTACCTTAAGTGCAGGCGCCATCTGATAGCCTTTTCTGCAGGCTTCGTGTACTTAGCTGATCCTCCTTTTTCTTGCAAACCCCTGCCCCTGCTGTCCCAGGGAGGACGGGCTTCTGTAGGGGCTTCTGTAGAGGCTTCTGGGAAATGAGGTGTCTGCAGGAGGTGAAGCAGTGTTTTCCTTGGAACGTTTGAGGACCTGCAATAGAGGATGTTGTCTTTATGGCCCTAGAGAAAGTCAAGGAACATGGGGACCAACGAAGCACTTCCAGTGATAAGAATATCTCAGAAGAGTGCTCGGTTAGCCCACGGCGCCAAAACTCCAAACAGAAGTTCCCCGGTGGAATGATGCGGCCATTGGAGGGCTGCAGGTCGTCCTCTCCCTATGTACCTCGCCCATTTCCTGAGCCTCATCTGAGATCTGGTGTCAGAGTTCTCTGCTCCTGTTGGCAGATCGCACCTTGTCTGAACATTTGTTCCAGCCACCTTTTGCACATGGATTCCGTACCTTGCACTAGCAATGTCTACCTTCGGTAACATCGTTTTGTTCACCCTGTATTCTCAATGATCCCTTCCTCCCCATATCTCACCCTTCCCCCGAAGCCGATAGGGCAGAGGTGCACTTTATGAAACTGGCACTTGGCTGAACAGAAGGAAACAGCTGTACCCCTAAGCTCCTTTCACAGAAATCGTCATCTACCTTGGAATGCAAATAGTTCTTATTTGCCAAAGAACAGTGAATTGGGCCCAAAGATCAAACACAGCATTTCACGTAATCGGAATTCTAAATGCACAACTCAGGAGCTGTGCACGGCTCCTCAAACGATTCAGTTGCAGAATCGAGAGCAAAACTCACCTGTTTTTGTCCTCAGTGGCACCCATGAGCTTTCCAATAGTATAATTCTCTTTCTTTCCTTGTCCTGGTTGAAGGTAACGTGTGTTCCTAGAAAAGAAAATGCTGCATAGGAAAACTGAGATGCCTTTTATTCTAACGTGTTTGATCCCTGTCACTCATTATTCTGTACTTTTTATTGTACATTCTATTCCTGTAATTATTGTGCCCTTTAAGTGTTGTAAAATCGTTTTGGAATTTGTGCCTGGTAGTTATGCAATAAACAGGCTCTACAAAGGTGTTTGTGGTAATGCTGTGCTCCCCATCACTTAGTTGATGTTTCCAGATACTCTGTAAAAGGTCTGAGGAAATTCTCCCAAAACGCCATTATTAGTGAGATGCAGTGTTTCATATGCTTTGGGGCTCCAGCAGTTTTACAGTAATGACTATCTTTTTCTTCCTCTGTGCTTAGCAAATAGCTTTCTTTTTTTTGAGATGGAGTTTCACTCTTGTTGCCCAGGCTGGAGTACAATGACATGATCTCGGCTCACCGCACCCTCCGCCTCCTGGGTTCAAGTGATTCTCTTGCTTCAGCCTCCGAAGTAGCTGGGATTACAGGCATACGCCACCATACCCGGCTAATTTTGTATTTTTAGTACAGACGGGGTTTCACCATGTTGGTCAGGCTGGTCTTGAACTCCCGACCTAAGGTGATCCACCCGCGTCGGCCTCCCAAAGTGCTGGGATTACAGGTGTGAGCCACCGCACCTGGTGCAAATAGCTTTCTTTAAACCCTGCATCAAGATGTTAGTTCCATGCATCTTATAATGTATTCCCTAAATTTAACTTCTTTTTTCTTTTGGAGAGAGGTTCTCACTCTGTCACCCAGGCTGGAGTGCAGTGGTATGATCTCAGCTCACTGCAACCTCCATCTCCTGGGTTCAAGTGATTCTCGTGCCTCAGTCTCCCAAGTAGCTAGGATTACTGGCATGCGCCACCACCCCTAGCTAATTTTTTTGTATTTTTAGATATGGGGTTTCAACATGTTACCCAGGCCGGTGCGAACTCCTGGCCTCAAGTGATCCACCCACCTCAGCCTCCCAGAGTGCTGGGATTACAGATGTGAGCCACTGTGCCCAGCCCCTAACTTTAATTTTTTAAATGCCGTGAAAGCCAGCCCAGCACAGATGCCCTCACTTCTTCCTAACAGGTGATGGGGTCCTGACTTGAGTTCAGTGCTTTTTTTTTTTTTTTTGAAATGGAGTTTTGCTCTTATTGCCCAGGCTAGAGTGTAGTGGTGCAATCTCGGCTCACTGCAGCCACCACCTTCTGATTTCAAGTGATTCTCCTGCCTCAGCCTCCCAAATCGCTGGGATTACAGGTGCTTGCCACCACACCCAGCTAATTTTTTTGTATTTTTAGTAGAGATGGGGTTTCACCATGTTGGTCAGGCTGGTCTCAAACTGCTGACCTCGTGATCCACCTGCCTCAGCCTCCCAAAGTACTGGGATTACAGGCGTGAGCCACCACGCCCGGCAAGTTCAGTGTCTTAAAACCACTGGTCTTTTGTATTATTATTTTCAGAGAAAGGCCCTCTGTGCAGGTTCCTAGGGGAAACTGGTATAGATTTGCATGGGGGTTCATCAGGGCTGCCCATGGTCACCAGTGATTGTTCTCTGGTTAGGTGACTTGGGACTCTTCTCCCAAATGGAAGAAGGGTGGGGTAGGGCCTGAGCACCACGGGTGCTTTCCAAGTGAGAAGTCGGAAAGACGCCACGTCCTCGCTGTGATCCCGCTTGTCCAGGGGACGTCTGTGCAGGCTTAGGACCAGTGGCTCACACAGCTCACACCCAGAGCAACCTCCTCAGGCAGGAGGCTCAAAAGAGTCAGCAGCAGGCCTCCTGGAACCCTGGCAGGCTCACCAGGCCGAGCCCCTATAGTCTGGTTCAGCAGCTCTGGGGTGGGGCCCAGGAGTAGGCATTTCTAACAGGTTCCAGGGACCACACTC